TGACCAGGTGGACTACGTCACGCCTTGGCCAGCATCAGCGGTCCTCAGAGTTACAAGAGAATGAAGTTTGAGGCTGGAGTCCATCGAGTTCAGAGGGTTCCCAAGACTGAAAAACAGGGCAGAATGCACACCAGCACCATTACTGTGGCTGTACTGCCCCAACCCACCGAGGTACAGCTTTACACGATGAACGGATGACACAAACCCAAACAGCGTGTTCATCTGTGTTGTTTTCCTTCTTGCTGTTTAAAACAACCCAGTTTTCCTGCAGGAATCATTACAGATTGAGTGAAGAAACACTTGGAGAGCATCTAGTTTCCTTAATATGATGCATTTCCTGTTGAAATAGGATGTTGGATGGAAGTTATTCCAAAATTGCAGACTAATGGGATATCACATAGGGCATTTTGATATGAAAAGTATTTCATTTTGGCGTGACTTTTTAAAGTTTTACCTCATCTGTCCTATTTTTAGAAGTCTTGTTTCTCCATTTCTCATAGATGTTTAACACTGATTTACCATACAGGTGGAATGTATAGGATTAGGTCTGTTCTTCTGCTCACCTGCTGTTAAATTAGGTGCAAGTAAAGTATGAGTTTCTGTGTGTTCCTGTCAGATCTCATTAACGATAAACCCAAAGGACCTGAAGATAGAGACCACGAGAGCGAGTGGAGCTGGAGGTCAACATGTCAACACCACAAACAGTGCAGTCAGAATAGTCCATCTGCCTACAGGTAGCTTCACAAAAAGTGACCACAGTATCCACTGACGATGCTGTTAATAAATGTACTTGACAGAATGTGAAAAAGTTCCATGTAACACAACAAAGACCAAAAAAAAGACCAAATTGTAAGATTGGGATCATGAGGTTCTACAAATTGAAGTTTTACATATTTGTAACAATCAATGTTAGTTTAGGTAGGGTTTTAGTCCTGCCTGTTTACATGGGTCTGTCTTTCTCTTAAAAGTAATTATGAAATGAGTAGAAGTTAAGTGGGATGCCCAAATAAGAATAGCACTTTAATACTTGTTGGTGTTTGTTAGGTGTGGCTGCAGAGTGCCAGCAGGAACGGTCCCAGATAAAGAACAAAGAGAAGGCCATGAAGGCTCTGAGAGCAAAACTGTACAGCATGAAGCTAGAGGCGGAAACCAGCAAACGCCACAACCAGCGTAAAATACAGGTGAGATATATACAGTATAGTTTCATATACAGGTGGAGACATTCAAATATAATAGAATAATACTATTCTACTAATAATAATAGGTGTGAAAAGTGATGGTTTCTTTCCAACATATTGATAGCATTTATTTTTGAAAGATCCAAGATGTCAAAATTAAATATAATGTAGCAAAACAGACAAAAACAATAAATGAATACATTATAAAAAGCTCCACACATTTTCATGTTTTTCCGGTGATTTTGTATATTGTTTGCTAAAAAGAGGTTGTTTTACAAAGTTTAATACATAAATCAAAACGTTACCCCTTTTTTCTTCCTTCCCTTCCCCCAGATTGGCACCAAAGGCCGATCAGAGAAGATTCGAACCTACAACTTTGCCCAGGACCGTGTAACAGACCACCGGATCAGCCTGACGGTGCACGACATCAAGAGCTTCATGCTGGGAGAGGACCTGCTGGACGAGATGAACTCCACGCTACAGGAGTTCTCCTACCAGGAGATACTAATGGAACTGCTGGGAGAAAACAACCAGGAGGGCTCGTGATGAACATGGATTATGCAGGAATGGAAACTTTGTGCTGTAATTTTGGTCAGTCCTACATTCCTACCGCTTCAGATTCTGCAACCGAGGAAAAGGACCTTGATGGATTGTAAGGATGACCAAGTCTTAATGTTTCTGCCCTTCCAATACAAAAAAACAAAACAAAAAAGACATTATTTCCATACTCATGTCCAGGTATCTCGGACAAAGTCAGAACAAACATAAAAGTGGCTAATAAAATGACTAAACTGATTCCAAATAGTAAGTCAGTAGCAATATGTTTTTATTCATTGAGTTATTCATTCATCAGCGGTATGTGTGTGTACACTTAGGTACAACCTATGTGTGAAGCTGGAACCAGTGAGTTTTTTTGCTTTTAAAAATGACCCCAGATTATTGAATTATAAAAATGTTTGCAGATATTTGTTTGTTAAGTGAGTAACTGATTGATTCAACCAGAGCAGACCCAATGCACACTAACGTTTGTCCACATCCTTTCGGCTACAAATTGAAGTTTCTCCCCCCTTTTTTTTTTTTTTTTTTAGTTCAGTTTCAGGCGCAGGGACGTGTTTATTTGACACATGTAATTGAAGAACTTCAATACCCACAATGCCCTTGCTGAAAGGTTGACTAATCGAGCAGAGAGCCACCGCTCCGCTCTGCCTCCTCGCCCACTCTCACCGGCCACTTTTCTCCCCACAGTCGCATCCTGACTGCGAGCTCCAGCGCTACCGTTAGCTAGCTAATAAGGGAGTAGCAAGCCCTCCTTACTGAGGAAATTCAGTTTTTATACCTCAGCGTTATGTCATTCTGCTGAGTATTTCGTTTGGGAAAATGAATATGCGATTCTTCTGCAGCAACACGCCTCCTAGTAAACAGAATTCCCTCCGTAAAGTGCGCTTTTTCACTTCGACCTCGGTAGCTGAGCGGGTTTAGCAGTCAGTGCGTTTGGACAAGAGAGTGGCTCATCTGTCCGCCGCTGCTGCTCTGTGACGGGGCGGGGGGCATCTGGACAAAGCCAGTCAGATGTTGGACGGTAGAAATATCCTTTTTTTTTTTTTTACACCGGGTTGTGAAATTGAATTATCAAGCTGATTATCTGTCGTAAAAGTGCCCGGAATAAAGGGAGGAGTAAGGTCTATTTTTGGAGGGCGAGAGTTTGGATCTCGCACCGAAGGAAGGGGTAGGGGGTGTGCGGAGGAGGAGGACCCGCAGAGAAGAAGGGACGTAGGGGGGAGAAAATCCTGATGCCAGTGATGGCAAACGAGCCGATCATCCTAAACGTCTATGATATGGTAAGTGGAGCCAGGGAGATTGATGTTGTATTACTTCTTTGCTACTTTGTGGGAGGAATATGCTCCTATCTTGTATTTATTTCGGCATGTCAACAACGTCAGGACGCAACGCCAAACTCTTATTAAAAAAAGGCCATTTAATGTTGCGTTAGCTGTCAGCAGATATGCAAGGGTGAGAGTCAAAGGCTGAAAGATCTTTTTTTACATTATGAACCACTCTTCAATTCGGCATGCATTCACAACACCCAGCTCCGTTATTTTTAATACAATTTCCCCTTTAGGAACTGGTTCAGCTGTTCGATTCCTCCGTTATTTTCCAGCAAAATGCACATGGGAGCACGGCAGCGAGAGGCAGATTAAGCTGCATAAAGTTTTCTTGACATAAAGTGCTTTTGTAGAGGCCTTTTTGTTATCCAGATAATGTTTCAAACCAGAGCTTTGTTGTTTAGTGCAACACACTCTTCTGTACTAGAAGACATTGTAAAAAACTGTTTTCTAATGGTGCAAGGTAAAGCAGCTCAGAATGTTTAAAGGATTAAAAAACATATCTAATTCAGAAACACACTGGTTCACAAGTGTAATGTTGGCAATATTGGGTTTCCTTTTATCAGGAGTGGAGCAAAATGGTCCTGTTTGGGCTTTCTAAGCTGCTGTTTTCAAGACAGAAGTTCACAGTAGTCAGTTAAACATGGCGAACAAGGAGTCAACCCTTTCTTTAAGTGTGTCCTTGTATACTAGTTCACTTGTGTCCGTCCGCTAACAAACCCTTTTCAAGGATTTCAGTTCACTCAAGACGAAAACAGGAAAGCGTTGGGCTCCATGTGGATGTGAAAGTAAACTGACAATTTCTCCCAGTCTGCATTTCTACTGGGGGGGGGAAGTGTCTCTTTGTTACAGAAAGAGGCTGAGGTTGAATTTGAGTCACTATGTTGTCACCCTGCAGGAGTGAGTCAGTGAGAAGGGGGGGCTGGAAATTGACTGATGAATCATTGATTGATATGGATCCCCTGCAGTGGACAGATTACACTTAAAATGGGAATTGAATTTGGGCTTGTAGAACAGGCAGAGGGAGTGTTTTTGGGAATAATATGCATGGACACTTTGCTGGGAAAGCACAACTTGCCATAAATGTTCACTAGGCTTTTGTTCCTCATTGCAATCCACTTGTTTTCTTCCCTTTTCCATTCCCCATACTTTGTCAGAGGACACCAAGAGATGTCACAAAGTAGTTTTTTTTCAACTCCTGACTTATTATGAATTATGTCCTCTGTCTCTCTCGACATTTTTCCCTTTCTCCTGCCCTGGTTTTACCTCTGTTTTTAACCTGATTTATTGCTGTTGTTTCCTTTTAGCTGATGGTCAATATGTCATCACAGCCATGAGGTCAGTAGGTTGGAGACAGTTTTATATGGATATGAGTCCTTTGAGAATCTGTACATAATAAAGACGTTTTACAGTACGGTGTATTATCTATAATAGCATAACACACCTCAGGACTTGGCTTTACTCATACAGTATGAATCCGTATAATTAGTGTATTTGTTCCATCCCGTCTTTCTTCCTTCACCCCGTCCTCATTGATTCACAGGCTTCTTTATTTTCCTTCCCATCTGCCCTACCTCTTTTTATCATTCGGCCATTCCCTTGTCTTCTCTCATATCCTCTCTTTCTTCTCTCCTCCCCCTCTTTCTTTCACTTCCTCTTCCTCTTCTGAAGAGCTTTTATCTCCGTCTCACCTCCATTCATGTGAACGGCTGCAGGGGCCTTGGCACGCGCACAGCCTTAAAAACACTACATATCTAACACACACCCATGCAGAACTTGTTTTTACAGTTACAGACACGCTTGTGCTTTCTGTGCATTGATTTGTTAGTTGTTTCTACCTGATGCTAAAGTTGTTATCTATATTGAGGTTTAGATCTGTAGCGTGTGTATGTACACGTGTGAGAGACAGAATGAGTGTGCACATTTTGAAGAATTTAGTGGTTTGTGCTTTGCGCATGCAGACTGACTCACACCCAACCATATTTTTGGTGTTTGTGTTTTTTCGTGTGCTACTGTGAGAAGACGATTTTGGCTTGCTTGCAGTAGGGTTCAAGCACTCATTGAAAACAATGTGACAATGGCTGCTAGCCATTTATTCATTCCTCTACTTCAAACACTTCCTCTGTCTATTGATCAGGGTGTTCTGACCCGAGTACTGTAGGAAAAGTGACTGGCTGCATGCTCGCTGACTGACTGGTAGACTTGCTGTCTGCTGGTTGGGTAACTGACTTACAGAAAAACAAAAGAGCAGGGGTTGATGGTGCCCGAATGTTATTCAGTTGACTGCTGCATGATGTACTCACTGACTAGTTGGATCGCTTAGTGGATTTACAGTATGTAGACGGACTCACTGACTGCAAGCATACATGCATATCAGGTCGAGGACCCACATTTGATAAGATGTAATCTCAGAGATCCCCGTCTGATTAGATCTAGTTATTCCATAACTGTGTATGCTGTAGATTGGCAGATTAACAGTGAAGTCAAAGCTATGAACAGAACGGTCTTACTTACAGTCTCTCATTGGACTTACTTCTAGTCCAGGATATAATAGTGAAAATTGATGCCATTTTCATATCCTGTTTTCTGCTCTTTGAATTTTGGTAACACCCAGGCTAAGAGCTATTTCCCCCTACTTTCAGTCTTTATGCTAAGCTAGGCTAATCATCTCCTGGCTTTAGCTTCATAAATCCTACTTCATACTTGATACTTCATACATATTTATGCTGTAAATGACAATACAAAATAACCTAGAATACTTAAAGCACAGACTAATTAGAACTAATTTAACCCCTGGCTAGAAAGTGAATAAGGAGCCTGTGTTCTTTTTTAAGCAGCGCTATTTGACGGCCTGAAAAGGGCCTTGTTTATTGGCTTAATGGCTGTCTGGTTAGGTGACAGGCTGTCTAAGAGAAAGTCAGGAAACAGTGAAGATCAGATAATGGCAGAGGTCAAACCAATGGCGTCACAGACGGCAGTGGGGAACCGCCATCTCACCATATAATGAACAGTGGCAGCAGAAATTGCAGCCTGGTTGGGGGCAGAGAGGCAGAATGGTGAGAGCACCTGTCATTTTGGGCAACATGTGAATCTGCCTGCCCCCTAGTGTAAGTAAGACACTTAACGTTTGCTCCAAAAAAAAAAAATCCATTTAAAGATCAATACTTTCACGTGACTTTCAGGAATATCTGAGCACACTCAAGTACCGAACCCCCCCTCGCCGCCACCACTACTCTTTCTCCTTACACAATTCCCTTTCTGTCAGGTCCTCCCCGCCGTCCTGCGCCCATCTCTGCTAAGTGGATTTCCTGACCAGCTCTGAGTGCTTTAGTACGCTGCTCTAATGAGACAGCATTATCTGCACACCACCTGTCTGCCTGCCAGCCAGCACAGTGGTCTACTGTGTCTGTCAGTGTGTGTTACTGTGGGAGAACGTGTTAGGGTATTAGGTTTAACAGCGTCACGTAGCCAGATACTCCTGTGTTATTGTGTCGTGAATGCTGCTCTGGATCAATAAGGGAGACATGCAGCAGTCATGATTTCAATTCTTCTTTTCCACCGTCTAGTTTACGAGGTAGCGAGTTCCAGGAGAAGTACGTTAGTAGTGTGAAGTGTAGCAGTGCTCGTTCTGGGACGCCACAGCATCCTCTGCCAGTGGTGTACTGTGTCATGGCAGCAAAATGGTCAGAGCCATTGCCTTGTCTGATGTCATAAATCTTGCACAATAAAGAAACCCATAAGTCCACTAGAAACTCAACCAGAACTATAGGTTATCTACTATATATACTATAGTGTTTGGTGATAAGACAGTATATACCTTGATAGAGATTGTCAACGTTTTTGTGCCGTTTATACGGAGGTTCTCATCCTGCTCATATCTTTGTCAAATTTATAGGACTTTTGCATCAATGTGATCAAGTTTCTTGGTCTTTCAGATATTAAATTTACACAATTAGCTAAAAACAGCCATTTGATTTTAGTTGCTATATCACAATATACACTCAGTGGCTTTGTATTGGATTACATTAGATTGTACAGGTGTACCTAAAGTGGTGACTAAGTGTATATCAATATATAAGAATTCCCAGACTTTGGTAGAGGTTGGTAGAGGTTGGTGATATGGAATATCACCAACCTCTACGATAAGGTTATGTTATGCCTAGAGCTGAAATGGTAATAAAATATGGCATAAAATCAGCAGCTATGGTGATAATCAAATAATTGTATTTTTTAAAGCTTAAATATCAAACATTACCTAGTGGCAGCTTTCAAAAATTAGAATTTTCTGCTTTCCTTTATATAAAATATGAATTAAATGAATTATCAAAAGACATTAATTAATGAGTTGCAGTCTCAGTTATGGCCATCAGTTATAAATGCTTAACCAAACTTAACCAGAACTCATCCTCTTAAACTAGGCAAAGACTAAAGACATTTTAAATGTACTTGTAAATTATTATTTGTTAGTTAGTTTAACACCGTTAGAGATTATAATCCTTAACAGAAAAAAATTACAGCATGGAGCGGGATGATTAAGTATATAGGCATTAACTGGAGCATTCAGTTGCTCTTCATTCATCCATCTCTTTCATTCATAAACACACATTTACTGTCATACTCATACACACTCAGCCTGCACTGTGGAGGAGGCAGGTTTTAACGAGCTTTGAATTAATGAGGGCTAAGATAAGAGTCTTATTTCACCACTGGGGGGGCGGAGGGTAGCGTACTAAACTAGCAGATTAGCTTACTTAAAATATTTTCCCACACACACACACACACAGACTCATCCAGCGGCTGATTTTGCAATTATGTGTTTGGACATCTCACTGACTCTACTCAGAGGGATTTAGAGTTCGTGCAAGAGCAGAATAAGCTTATATTTATGTTTAAGGTGTTCCCTTTGTATAAAGTCAGTTGTGGCTTCCAGGGTATCTGGTAGCTGTGGGTTTATTTTGCAACTTAAATGCTGTTTCTTCGGATTCTTAGAGTTGTCAGTTTTTTGAACAGAATCCACCTTAAGCTCTCGCTTTTTTGGAAAAGCCCAGGATAGAGAATTGAAGCAGGGAGGAAAAAGCTGATACACTTGGTTGCTAAACTTCCGAGCAGACGGTTTAAAGCCAGCAGACTATAGCAGCCAAAGCTTCTCCTCAGTCTTTGAGAGCCAGCTGTTGTAGACACAGACGGCGGTTATTCCTGGGCTCAGAGAAACAACCACAAAACTCAAACAGGATTTCAGCGTTGCTGTTTTTGCTCAGATCTTTTAAGAGAAGAGATCAGCTAATCTAAGAAACTCTCTGTGCTGGAAAAACCCTACCAATGGCAATGCTGGAAATTACACAATGAGATGTTGCTTTTGTGATGTTATTGGAAATGTTGATCCTTCTGGGATATCTAAATGTGGTGGGTGATAAGTCCTGTGACCCATACTCAGCCCTCTTTAATGCACGTTTAAGCTAGGTTTCCATTAAGATGCACACCCTGAAATGACAAGTGGTAGCTGATTTGGGACTTTGGAAAATTGGGGAAAAAGGATTTTTTGAAGTCCAATTAAGTGGATCTGAAAGGGGATGTCCCCTGTCGTAAAGTAAAGCCGTTCACTGACTCTTGCAGTAGCGTTTTTGTGCAACATTTCAACCATATGTAGGTCAGGAAACCGACATACTCTGCAGTGTGAGACACTGGGCTGAAATGTTGTGCAAGACAGCCATCTTAGCTCAGCTGTTATATTGTGTGGGATATTTTAGAATTTACTACATTTATTTGTCAGAATTACATAAAAATGAGGGATAGGCATTCTAGTCTTATTAGTCATTACCCTGTGTAAACTTGTGTCTGGGTATGTGTTGAGTATTTTAAATTACCAGGAAGAGAAATGCACATATCCAAGAAATTAAGTCATTCATAATTTTTTTTCCCTTCCTCACTGAAGATCAGTCGGGCGAAGAAAGCTGAAAAGGTAACTCAGCAGACTTGCGTTTACCTACTTTGATTCCAAGTCGTGCTTGTTTGTTTTGCTCACTGAAATGACTTGCAGGTAAGTGTCAGATGACTATCAAAGGTCCAGTGTGTAGGATTTAGTGGCATCTAGTGGTGTAGTTGCAGATTGTAACTCGCTTGCTTCACCCTGGGCTTTCAAGCGTGAATGAGAAACTACGGTGATACGTGTAAAAAATGCGAACACCCCTATCCAGAGCTAGTCTTCTGGGCCTTATGGGCTACTGTAGAAACAAGGCGATTCAACATGGCACCATGAAGAAGAAAAAAAAAAAAAAGAGCCCTCCTAAATGTTACACACTGGACCTTTTAAGTCAGAAAAGTGACTCTTTTGTCAGCATTTCTTACATCAGTCCAACAGCATAAACATGAAGACCTATTTATTATTACCTGAAATGATGTGATAGAAGTAGTTACAAGCTCACAAGTCACAATGCCCGGAAGTTAAGATAAACCTTTATTAATCCCCAGCTTACAAAATGCTTGGATGGAAACTCTTTCCTTCACTCACTTGTAATACCTGCTCTGTAACACAAATAGCCAGATACAGTGTCTCATTACATTTATGGTCACAGTTTGTGTTTAAACTGGTACTGTTTGCAGAGGGCATTTGCAATGCAGATATGTGGCGAAGACCGCCGTGACTGCCACCACTGATCGTGTGCTGCTACCTACTGTATTTGCATAAAAATAGACAGGAAGTATGAGAATAGTTTTTACTAGCTTGCTGTGGTTATCAGGCTGTTATCCGGCTGCTTGATCTGTTTTGCAAATTGTATCTGCTTATCATGGAGGAGAGTGTGCCTGTGCACAGTCAGTGCATGACACCCACTGCGGCCTGATATAATTTGTGATCAGTTTGGTGTTAAATTGTCTCTATTAGGATAATTTTCTGGAAACTGGTTTGCAATGGTGGAATGAAATTATAAAAGGATTGACTAAATTAACACATAGACATATTTGTAGATTCGGTGTGACAGAGGTATCATTGTAAAACAATCCTTATAAGTCTGGTCTGTTTTTTTAGCATCAAAGTACTCCAGTGATAGTACATTGTGGGTACATTGCAAACAGGAACTGTTAATAGCTAATTAAGTCATTTAACCATTTAATTTTCAACTCTATTTGCTTGTTCCAGTCTCTCAAATGTGAGAATTTGGCCTTTGTATTATATAATTATAGTATATGGTTGGTTTGGGATCAGGCAAAACAGGAAATTTGAAGACGTCACCTTGCATTCTGTGAAATAGTGTTTTTCGCTTTTTATTTTTTACATTTTATAGATATAATTGTGAATAGATCATCAAATAAAAATACTTGGAAGATTTCTCAATTCTAAAAATCAATATTAGTAGCAGCCCTACTCACCACTTCACTGCTTTTCACAATATGGACCCATGTTGGGGTCATATTACATGTGTTCAACTAGCTTTTACCTACATTAGAGCATTAGAGCTTTTTTGCACCGAAAGGGAGTATCCACAATATTTCCATATCAAGTCATTGATATGTTTCTCAAACATTGGACATGGGTCTGGCACTTTTGTTTGTGTGCAGCTTGCGTAGAAAGGCAGCTGAGCCAAACACTGTTTATGTGTTTGTCACACTTGTTTGTTCGAGTGATTTTGGTGACTGTACTGAACATGTAAACGAATATATTATATACCTCCTTATTATTTAGCACCCTGAAATGTGGAATCAAGCTCATTCACATTCCCCTGCTCCATCCTCTGTGATAAAAGATCTTTTTCACATAAGCGAACTCTGCCTAGCAACAGCCTGGCCAATCTTCTGGTAGCCTCAGGATGTTAGACAGACACATGGCTGAAAAGATGAACCATATTGTCAGAGATCACAGCTGCCGCAATTACTGATTTGATTTATGCTCTTTCTTGTGTGTGGGCTTGTCTTGTGTTGTCTGTGTGTAAGAGATCTTGTGTTAGTATCAGACCTCACAGACCTCAGCTAGGATCATGGGAAGGCAGTGTGTTGGGAAGACAGTTGAGGTTAATCCAGTCTATTCTAATACATTTATTTGCATTCGGTCTATTTATGTGGTTCTTGCAATGACTCACTAACTTTGTAGTAAAGTTTGCATTGCAGCTTTTGCAGCCAGTTTTGACACAGTGAGCCACGATGGCATTTCAAGCGTGATTTAAATATGCATACGTTGCCTCTACGGCTACCATCTGTGGTGTGATTGCAGTGATAACGTTTTCAAGTAAAGGTTTCATTATGCACAGAAAATTAAGAACATGAATTGTCCACAATTTCAATAATCGAGTCATTTATCAAACAGGAAACAAAATGCCGGTTCAAGCTTCTGGGGATTTGCTGCTCTTTTCTCTTATAAAGATCCAGTTTGAGTTCTGTAGGGAAGAAATTCCACATTTTGTCCCCAAATGAGGCTTTACTTGGCGCTTGGTTGAGTCAATGGGGTTTCAGTTGATTGCAATGGGCGCTTACTGCCAGATGCCACTGACACAGTGGTCCTTTAATTACCAGCAGATATCACTCACAAATTAGGGGACATGGTAAATAGTGGCCTGCACTAGAGAAAGTGTAATAAATATACAAGAGTTCATGTTGGCATTGGCCCATTTCAGAGAAATGCTGTATGGTACATTTCATAAAGACTACATACTTTATTATATGTCCAGTAGTAGGGTTGGGTAACCTTACCTAATATTTACAAATACATTATTTATTCTCTGTCTGTTTTTGTCCCCTTCTGTGTTCAGTACTGGATCAATGAGTTTACCAGCTCTTTGGGTATCGGAGTCTTTCACTCAGGGATTGAGATCTATGGAAGAGGTAAGATTACCCAGAAATATGACACCACATATATCCATTGACTTGTTGTAGGTGGTGTTTCAGAAAGGCTGCCATACAATTGTTATTTGGCTAAGAAAGACTTTTTGCATGAGAATGGTTGGTACTCAAATGTGTGTTTTTCATGTTGTTTGTGCGTTTAGAGTTTGCCTATGGCGGACACCCGTACCCATTCTCAGGGATCTTTGAGATTACACCAGGTGATGCAACCGAACTTGGCGAGACCTTTAAGTTCAAGTAAGTATGGGATTTTTGGTGTTAATGTGTGCAGAATATACATGTATATACATGTGTTCTATGTTTTCTAAATGTGCATCCAACAGCTTGCCAGCTTAACCAGTCTGTCAGCAACGGGCCAGACAGCCCAAAACAAGCCAGTCAGTCTATTTTACTGTGAGTCAGTGTGTTTTAGGTGTGGTGGTCAGGCAGTTAGTTGAATGTTTTGGCAGCTTAGTAGCTATTAGCAGTGATCTAGTTACGGTAATTAACCAGTTCACTCTCAAGTCTGTCTGTCATACAACCACTAGCTGGGTTTATTGAAAGTCAAATAGTCACTGTCCATCCAGTCAGTTCATCAGTGAGACAGTCTGTTCACAGTTCACAAGTTAGTCAGTCTGTCAGCTCAATAGTCCTCCACTAAAAACATCAGTCAGCATTTGCACTTAAGTAACCATGTTACAATATGTTTTCTCCACAAAGGTGATTTTGTTAACATCATGAAAACAAGACACCCATTTCCTCCTGGAGAACTCAGATTTCTTGACTTGTATACGCACAACTTGGATTCCAGTGGGGTGTTTAGATGTACACATGTGTACGAGAGCAACTTCACACAGCGATCCTTCTCACAGCAGAAGAGTTGGATGAAAGGACAGATAATTACAAGTACAGATGCATACTTGTGTGTAAAATAAAAGCAAACCATTAGTCTATGTTCTCCAGTTATTTATGTAACCTGGGTTCTCTGAATAACTCTCAGGTAACTAGCCCCGCTGAAAGTCACCTAAGCTTGACAATAAAACATAGACCTATTGATGCCAAGCACCACAAACATTTATTGTTGTTCGGGTCATGAGTTATTCACTGAACTAAACAGGACCAGTCTTACAATCATCGTCCAACAGTCACGCTGTTAGCGAATGATTCATTTGTTCACTATGCCAGCTTGAGATTCCAGACCCATTCTGTGTATCCAGTCAACCAGTCAGTCAGTCTGTGAGCTGGTATGTTCCTTACTGCTGCTACAGGACCGAGAGATTAAAGAAATACATGGGTGTAGAGCAGAGAGACCACAGCATGTGACAGAAATATTAGAATTTCATTCATTTCTCTTTTTTCCTCATGGTCTGTAGCAGCTTTTTTTAAATAAAAAAAAAAAAAGGAAATGTAGAGCAAAAAACTGCTGCATAAAAGAGTGTGCCGTTAAAGTTAGCAGTGCTGACACATTTGTACACGCAATGCAATCCAATACAGCATTCCTTTGATAAACCATGTGTTTAAAGCTAATAATGTTTTTATGTTGTCATAGAGGTTTTGAAGGCTGTGGTCTGTGTTGTATTGAACTGCAGTAGATTGTACAATGTTTCTAATATATTTTGATCATATAAGTAATATAAGTAAATGAGGAGGGAGAGAACAAGTTGCACAATCTTTAGGCCCAATGGTATAAAACCCACAAATCATGGTTTTGAGCTGAAAAAAAAGTGGATTGCAGAAATTAAACGGCTTGTGAATGTGTGATATTTCTCTCACATCAGTTGGCCCACTTTGTCAGATTTTTACTGCAGTCTGCTGTGGTGGTGAGACAGTGGAGCACCCAGTCAGTTCAATACGTTTTTGCATTCCCAGAATCAGCCGTGTGTGTGTGTGTGTGTGTGTCTGTCTACCCAGAGCTACTGTGCTGCTGTGTATTACTTCTGCTCTAGTTGATCTGCCCTGTGGCTTTAGTCAGACTCTGCCTGGCCACACACATACACACACACACACACTTGGGCAGACACACTTGCTGTCTCCATGCAGGCCACTAGACCATAAGTATGGATCTACTGGTACAAATGCCTACATGTCACCCACTGGGAAGTCTCTTTGCCGAATGCTAACCCAATCTAGTGCTTTCCCAGAGCAAAACATTTGATTCTTTACTTTAAACTGTAAAGAAACCAACCAGGTGAAAGTCTTAATGAATAGATCTGTTAAATCCATTTTAAAGGACCATTCCAACTTAAATTTTTTTCCCATGTGGTCCACCACTCTGGTCCAGAATGAAATATTTGAATGACTTTTTGTTTGTTTCAGGTATTCATGGTCCCCAGAGATTGAACCCTAATGACATTAATGATACCTGATACTTGGTATTATCTATCTGGTTTATCAGTAAATAGCTTGCAAAACCAGTGACTATACTTTGTGTTTAGTGCTAATTAGCAAATGTTAGCATGCTAACACACCAAGCCAAGATCACCATCGTTCTCTGTTAAATATGGTAAATACGTGCTCAGCAGGACCATGTTAGCATTGTCATTGTGCACATGTTAGCAATGCTGACATTAGCATTTAGCTTAAAGCACTGCTAAATCTCCTAATTCATTGAAAAAGGCATAATGATTCCTAAGCCCGTGGACAAAATATTTGTAAATGACTCGCTCAACAGGCCTGGACCACTCGTGAATTTCGTTAAGTATGGGGAAATCAGTTAATGCCTCATATGTGCCGGTTACAACAAATCTGTTTGTATGAGTTGTTTATTCTTGCATGAGGCCCATTGATTGTG